ATATATATACACTGTATATATATGGATGGATATGGCACACACTAATATATATATATGGATGGATATTGCACACACTAATACATATATACTGTATATTAGTGTGTGCCATATGATTCAGCTTACAGACAAGTCTCGGCCTTTGTTTTCAAGGGGGACTAGCAGACTTAGTGTACCCAGGACTGGGAAGTGCAATCGTACTTCATTCGACACATGGAGGTATCAGCACTGGGATTTTGTTCCCTGTCATTTGCGTTCTGGGCCAGACTGGGAGGCTCGTGATGTTAGTTTAGAACGGGACACACTGTAGCTTATTATTTTCCAATACAGGACGATTCCGTAATATAGGACACCGAAAATTTTAGAGTTGAGATCAATTTAAGGTGAAAATTGTTTACAAACTGATAAAGTAAATTTAATTAGCTATTTAGCTAAATTATGCATGGTGATTTATTTATCTACCAGGAGTCGGGAGGTACGGTGTGGGAACATACTGCATGCGGATTTGCACTAAATGACCTAGCTTATTTCACCAACTGAATATTTAAAGGTTTGCTCTGAACGGCAGTCTGGGCCGCTGGGAAATATCCCATTACTTGCGATGGCCAGTCTGGGCATGAATGCCTTTGTTAGAAAGAGTCTGACAGATGATAGGAACTTGATTTTTTTCCAGGTTTCCAGCTGAGTGTTGTCTCCAGATCCCTATTTCACTGTCAGAGTCTGGGGGGAAGCTGGCACATGTGGACTATTCACATTACATTTAGGCTATTTAGCAGAGGCTTTTGTGCGGATAGGCCTTGCTTAAGGACTGGTGAAATCTGCCAACCACACAGAAGGAACCTGACCATTTCTGGGCTGCAGGTTCGTATCTGACTGTCCTTAGGCGAGATATGAGATACAGTGCGTTTCAAATTATTATGCAGATGCTGTTTTTGGTTTATTGTAAAAGCAGTCAACTCTCTTTACGAACTTTTCTTATTGTCAACAATGCCTTTTGATGTAAACAATAGCATATCTGAAACACAAAACCCAGTGTTCCAAATGATGATGCCGTTTCAGAACATTCAATATGCAATAAATCACTCAAAATAGAAATCTGTTGTATTTCACAAAAATATTATTCTTAAAAACAATGATGTTTAAGCCCTTACTTGAAATTACTTTTAAAATCTCTCTCATCCATTGTTTTGAGGTGCATGGGAATGGGCAGAGCAGTAATACCGTGAATATCCATGGTAATCCATGGGAATGGGGGAGAAGATAAAAAATATTCCCATAGTAACAGCGGAAATGGAAATAGTCTTCATGGTATTTTCGTGTGGATGGTAATACCACAGTAACTGTAATGAAATTGCTTATATATGCATATAATTTCACCTAATATCACCTATATTAATTAAAAGTGCGTTTGTTCTGTTAAGTTATTTGTTCTCACCAACACCAGCTGGGAGCGGCTGTACAGGGCTGCTGAAGAACAGTCTGTCTAAATACAGGAGAAGCCATGCGCCTCGCTCTCAAACATGGAAAAGACAAGGAGGGATATGCACAGAGGGATAGATGTGCATGGGGATAGCTATCACCGCACCCCCCCCCCCACTTCCCTAAGTTCCCAGTACGGTCAAGGGGTGATGGTGACCAAACCATGAGTCCATCGATGGTTTGCCCATAGCCTCCTGTATGGATTGTTCTTGGAATTTCAGGAACACCAGCACTTTCAAAACATGTTTGCTACCAGACTTAATTTTTCACAGCTGTTCTTTTAAGATGATTAATTTATCTCACTTAAACTTTCCATAATGATTCTTTATCTGATCTAGTTCTTCTGGAATTGCTCACAAATTTTTGAGAGTTTGATGAGGCGTCTAGTTTTCATGCCTTTTGCAAGGTGTCACACTCTTTCATGGTTTTCAGATGTACAAAGATCTTTCTTCCTTCCCTTAATTAATGAGAACTGTGGCTCGTCCAGTAATGTGTAACAAACAAGTCCTTTAAGTAGATTTATCTTTCGGTTACGATCACCTGGCAAACTAAATTGTCGGGGATTGATGCACTATTTACGGAAGCATGAAAAGAACAAGCGACAAAAAGACCACAATACAACAAGCGACAAAAAGACCACAATACAACAAGCGACAAAAAGACCACAATACAACTGTGATTTGCAGCATACCGCTAGTCCAGGAGCAGAACAAAATTCAAAGCTTAGTCTGATGACTATTGAGTGCGTAAAGTCAAAATATCGTAAGTCGAACCATCGTAAAGTGAGGAGCATCTGTATAGCGTTTAAAAGCTACCTGTGTATGTAAATGTGCTGCACAGGGTCAAAGAAACTAGGTTTGGGTCAAAGATCATAAGTCCTCCAGCAGGACAACGATCCAAAGCATATTTACCAAAGCACAAAGGCTGAAAAAGAAAATAATGGATTCCTAAGGAGTGGGTCCACCTTCACCACCTGCATGGAGAGGAGACCAGCTCCGACTGTCTACACAAAAGACTTTCACAGATGCTTGAAGTTTTATATGGAGAGATATGAAAATTCAAATAGATGTAGCCTTTGCGTAATTTGATTCTGTTTTCTTTATTTTCCGCAAAATATTGTACATTTCCTGCACCAGAGAAGAAACTGGCAGACGCATATATCTCTCCATAACTTGTCGTTTATTGCCACTGGTACGCAGTATTTCCAATTGTGAGATAATATACAAGAATTACACGGCTCACTGGGGAATTTGCCCGCATTTCTCTGTGAAAACACATCATGATAGTAACAGGCAGAGTGCTTCTATGTAGCTGCATTGCAGCCTAATAAAGTGAGAGCTGCCAAATCACATCCTTACGGCTTCACCCATCATAGGCATCTAGACAGACAGCATGTCTGCTTTATTAGAATACCAATGAATACAATAAATATTTCATGGAAACCAGGTTAAAGTCCCTTAAATTTTAAAAATGATTTGATAGAAATGTAATAATTTGATATTTATCAATTTAAAAAAATACAAAATATCAGTTCATATTAACCTGCATTACATCAAATATTGTAGACATACATATATATTATGCCATTGACAAGATGACACATATGATTGTCTCGCTCAGACATACCGGATTCCTTGTCCTTGAAGGTATCACTACATGCTCAGATGACCACACTCAACTAAAGTTAGCCCAAGTTAGCAAGCTGAACCTCACCCTGCCACAGCCTTCCCATCACTCTGCTAGACTGAGGAGCCTCAGTTATGTTTCTAATGGCGCTTTTCCACTGGCGTACAGGATCCGAGCCGTACCGTGAACACAGACTAGTTACAGCACGGTTCCAGCTTGTTTTGGTTTTCCACTGCAGGCGGGTTGGCTCGTTACATTACCGAGCTTGCTGATGTAAGATACTGCCCCCTGTGGCAGTCCCAAGATCAAAACAGTCAAAAAAACCAAACCAGCTTCCAACTGTGGTCTTCTGTGAATAATTCTCTATTGCTCTTTGTTTTTGTTCTATGCAAACCTTTCAGCAGAAACCATCCATACCCAACAGAACCAACAAACAAGGATTTACAGCAGGCAACACGCATTCTGATACTTAGGAAATGTCGAGTACAGGACCTACTGCAAAGAGCACTTAAGGTTCTTCCACTGTAGTAAACTTACCTTCATCTTTGGGTGGTTGATCTGGCACTGCCTGCAGCTCACGCCGGACTCAAGGTCACAGATTTACAGGCCAATGACAGATCACATTACTGGGGGACACCAAAGTTCATTGTTTTCAGCTACTGGGATTCATGTAACTATTTCACTGATTTTTCCTTTAATATAGCATATCCTAAGATGTAACAATGAAGATTATTTACAAATGTAACAAAAAGCATACAATGTAATATGTATTCTTGTTTACAGTAGAATGCAATGTCATGATAGGTTTCGTGAAGTCATGAAGTTTGGTGTTTTCTGTCATGCCTCTCAGGCCTTGACACCTCCACCCTGGCCTCCTCTAGGTCTTGTGCTCCCATGATGTACCCTTGCCTTTATATACATATATATCTCCCTCTAGTGGATGATTATGCAATTGCACAGACCAAAAGGCACGCGATCCCTGTGCTCCAGGACTGCCCACCTGCAGGTTTTAGGAGTTAGCTGTCATTTAGCACCTGATTTACACCAAAGATGCCAGATGGCTCCGTGTGTGCATAATGAGTTCAGTAAAGCAGTTAAAAGCCAAGATAGAAAGCTAACACTCCCCGCAGCCCTTAAAGACTAATTTTCCACCCTTGCAGGAAATCCATCCATCTACAAACCACAGGTATGTGTCGCAGGGAGGCGTGTCCCAGGCAGCACAGAGCAGAGACCGGGACACAGCCTGGATAAGATTCTGAAAACGTCACCACAGCATGCAAATGGAAAGATGAATAATTAGTGTTTTGTTGAAACATTTCTTTCCGTTGTACAGTTGCTTCACCACTCATACTAAACATAATCCTTCTAGAATATTTGTGATGAAAGAAGTTATTTTTAAACAATGTATTATGCAATGATTTATTCTGATGGGTGCTTGGAAAACACTGAATTCCTGCACTACTCTGTCATCTTTTTTAAGTTTTTAAAATTTTATTGCATACATTAAATTAGAATGATTAAAATTCAGATATTGTCATATTGTCAGGTTTCCACTGATGTGATACTGCTTAGTACGTTTCTCTTACTCCAGTACCTCCCTAATGATTAATCGTCACATCCTTATGCACTGCCCTACCTGAACATCCTTATGCACTGCCCTACCTGCACATCCTTATGCACTGCCCTACCTGCACATCCGTATGCACTGCCCTACCTGCACATCCTTATGCACTGCCCTACCTGCAGCCCACTGTCATGGAATTATGGGTAAGCACTCCAGTCTGCGGCGTCTCCCTGCACCTGATCCAGCTTCCTCTCATGCCTTCCTGCTGCCTTGTTCCTCTCCCTCAGATCCTGTTTCCTCAGGACAAGCCGCTCGAATTCCCTCATCATCTTCAGCTGCTCTCTCCGGGTCAGGCCCGTCTGGTGGGACCACTTAAGCCAGCGGCGGTCCTGGTCCTCCCCGGGTTCGACAGGTGGCTGCTCCTTCTCTGGGGGGCCCATGGACGGGGAGTCCGCACTGGTCGGCCCACTGTCTGGGCCCCACCCCACTCCTGCTTCCCCAGGCAGATTCCACACTGTAATGTCAGCTTTTTATGCTTTTTTCACTGCAGAGCCAGATGCTACCTCCTGACACAGGAGCATATTGACTTTGGCTCTTAGGCTTTGCTAGCTATGAGAAACACGTATAACGTGTTTTACAGCCAGTGTTGAAACAAATCTGACGACCAGGCCCAACAAGTGGTTATGGTATAGTGAAGCACAAAGAAAGGAAGCATGAGCAAAGTCTCAATCATTCTTTTTTAAGCATCTTATTATTTTTGAGGGGTACACAGGTGCCCCCCCCCCCCTAAAATTGACACCTAAAAATGGTTGCATGTCAAATATGTATATACAAAAAAAAGTTAAGCACCCAGACAGAGTGGTGGAAGTGAAATGAATCTGCACGTGGTGAAAGGTCATGTGACGCATGTGTCGCAATGATTATAATATCAGATCAAACGGACAGCAGAGTTATCAGTATGGGCACAGTGCTGGTCCCATGTCAGTAGGGAGCTGCACCCCCCCGGGCCGGGATACAGTGCAGAAGGGAGTCGTACGGCCGTTGTACTCTTTCCTGCGGCTAATCGTAAATTGTAACTGGCCCTCGGAATCCTGCAGTTGACGCCTGACCTGATCCTACACAAGTTCGATTGGGGAAAGATCAGGGCATCTGGCTGGCATGAGGGAGGACCTCAACGTGACGCAGGCAGTCCATAGACACACGTGCTGTGTGTGGACGGGCGTTGTCTTACTGAAAGTCTGTACCAGGCTGCTGTCTCAAGAGGGGAAAGACAAACAGATGCAGGATGTCACTGACGTAATGCTGTACTGTCAGGGTCCGCTGAATCACTACCAGAGATGACCTGAAGTCATACCCGATGGCTCCCCACACCATAACGCCAGTGTGTCTCTCCACAGCATTGCAGGGATTGCTCCTCTACCCTCAGCGCTGTCATACATGCACACGATGGTCATCCGCGGTAATGCAGAACCGAGGTTCATCGCTGAACACGGTACGACGCCACTCGTCATCAGTCCAGGCCTCCCGGTTACGGCACCACGCCAAACGCAGCCGTCTCTGCGCTGGAGTTATCGGCAGCCTACGCATGGGACGGTGAACCCATAGTCCAGCTGATGCCCGTCTTCGAGACATGGTGAGGGATGACATGGGGTGATGTAGAGTCCAATACCTGTGTCCGGATGGCAGGCGCAGATGTCATAGGGTTCTGTAATGCTTGGCACACAACACGACGATCCTCCCTTAGTGTGTTCCACCTTTGGCGACCGGAACCTTCACAACGTGTACGGGTGCCCTCACGTGGCCATTGGTTCCAACATTGGCCAACTGCAACATCTGCATGCCCCACGTCGAGCAATTGCACGATATGACCACCCAGCCTCATGCAAACCCGCAACACGACCCCTATCAAACTCCGTCAAGTGCCGTTATCCCTGTGTAATGAATCTACGAGGCGTCCTCTGTGTCTGGTGATTAGACGTGCCAGCTCCTTGCAAATCGAATCATTTACATTCCCATCGCTGGTCTGCACGTGTACCAAATTACATCCAAATCAGACCATTATTTCCGGGTGCTTAACATTTTTTTGTCACGGAGTGTATAACTTGAAAGGGTGCAATGTTATCTGACGACCATTTCTGATGCTCCACTAGTGGGCAGCATTTGTCTAAGTAAGGAGAGAAATTCAGCGGAATGAGAAACACAAGGTAAGATTGTAAATAAGGTGCTCTGTGGAAGTGTCTGCTAGAAATGCCACACTTAAATTATTCACAGGCCCTGTAGTCTAGTACAGCATGGCGGGAAAGTACAATGAAACAAACAGGAAACAGTTTTCAGAAATATTTAATAAAAGTACTTGATGTTCTTACATTTACAGCGGAGACTCCATGTTGGATTAGGGTATGCAGTAAGTCTCTGACTGTTCTGTTTCTTGTATCGTACACTTTGTACAGACAAAAAGGCCAACATTTCTCTTTGTATAAAAAATATAAGTTAATTTAAATTTAAATCCTAATTAAGAAAATAACATTAATAATTATAATAATCATTATATTAATAATAGTAATAATAAGGTAAATGTAGTGCAGATGGTTGAAGAAAATGGGTGCACAGTGGGAAGATTTCACCAGGACAAGGGGGGGGCCTGTAATGATGAGAGAATCTCAGTTATAGGGCAGTGTACGATTTGGGGGGGGGGGTGATTATAAATTAAAAATGGGAAAAACACTGTCAGTAAGTGCAAGACTGTCATCCTAATTTAGCACCAGTGTACTACAGTACAGTCTGCTTTTTCTATACTGAACCGCAGCAAAAGAGAACAGAAAATGACTGTATTTACGTGTATGTGTGTGTATATACACACGGTTCATATTGTATATATATATGCACACACATACAGGTGTGTGGGGAATGACTTTCCCAGTCAAGACAACAGAATACAGATTTCAGTTGCTGGAAGCTGTACTTGAAAGAAATGAGGGAAGAGTGAGGAACTGTGAAACCGCTTTGTTACCTCATGACCCATAATGCATCTGCAGCCATTTTGTAAAAACAACATTCATTACAGTGTACATTCGCACCTCAGGCACTGGCAAGGTTAACATACTGGGGGGGGGGGGGGAGCGCTAATATTTCTGCAAACATTTCTCTACTGTGGCCTTGACTTTAGCTGGTTGAACAGGAAACCAGTACCACTTTTCCAGCTAAAGCACAATATTATGATAATGTTGCAATGACACGGGGGAAACCGCACTGATGTAATACTATAGCATTGCTGTGAAACAGTATATGGTATCTATGATCAACCTTACGCACTGCAATGAAGTTCAGAATTACAAATGTCAGCATCGATTCCCTACACCAAGTTCTCACCAAAATGAGTGGTGAGGTCATACTGAATGCACTTGAGTAAAGACCAATCCAGCGGAGGATTTGACCGTCTAACTGACATTTCCATGGCACAACGTCTGTCACCTACACACCTCCTGAAGCCACTTTGGGAGGAAAAATGTTTCTTTTGGATTCTAACCTGACAATTACGACATGTTAGAAAATATTGACTTTTAAAAAGCCCTTTTTTAAACTAACAAATGTTAGAAGTTGAAATTTCTCTGCAAAGGAAGTTCGCCCCCCCCGCCCCCCCCGATCCCAACGCCGGTGAGACATGCGGTCGGTTCCTGCCCTGCGGCTGACAGACTGGTAGATGCCTCAGGTCACGTGAGCAGCAGCCCCCAGATCTGTGCCAGGGAACCAATGTCTGTGCCCGCTTGCTGACGAAAGCCGCCTCCGTTCTGGTAGTCTGCCAACAGGCACATCCGCTACCCACCGATCGAGTTCCGCAGAAACAGGCTGGAATAGATGTTCTGTCGATGTTTGTTCGCTGTGAACTCCTGCAGGAACCTTGCGTTTGCATATACTCTACAAGGTAGGGGCAGGGGGGTGAGAGTAAGACTGGGGCAAGAGGACTTGGGCAATCCTCACAACGACAATACTATGCTGCTTTGATTTTGACTGGGCAGGAAAGCGTGGCTGGTGAGAGCTTCCTCAGCCTCAGTGCACTTGCGCTTAAATATCAGCTTTTGGTACATATGAAATGATTCGTTAGCTTAAGTCACTTGAACTTTTCAAAAGGACCTACTTAAAATGGAGTAAATCTCTTGCACTTATTTATTCAGTACTTTTTAGTACTTTTTTTTTTTTTTTTTTAAATCGGAAAACCCATTTCTGAATCAAAACACAAACAGTGATGAGAGTATAGCCTTGATACTCCTCCAGAGTATAGCCTCGATACTCGCCCGGAGTATAGCCTCGATACTCGCCCGGAGAGGCTGCATCCCCTTGCCCACTTCTGGCTTTTAATTCGCCTCTACTTCTCTCCAGAACGCCCCCTTAACACCCTTTTTCGGCTTGAGATCCGTCTTAAAAAGGAAGACGTCGCCCAAGGTTTCTGTCGCTCAGACGATCAGAAGCCAACTTGTACAGAAGGGTCCTTGAGGGCTGGGCGGTTTGGTCAGGAGTAATGTGACTTTCGTGTGACTCCAAAGGGAACCGGGTTATCTGGCCCCATCTTAGTCAGGGGCAGTGTGAAGTTTTTTTTGCCATCTGTGTTAAAATAGGCTGTTTCATTCAAGTACTCTTAAAGGACCTTTTCCCATAGTAACAAAGGACAATAAGCAAGACCCCCCCCCAGAGCAATAACTCAGGGGTCATATCATGCATCTTCTCATTAAAAGAAATCCATACGTCTCATTACCTTTGCGTGCAACAAGGCTACCATAAGTTGGAAAAAGAAAATTATGTACCATTTCAAAAACTAAACTGTTCAAACTTACAATGTCGAACTCCTGCCTTGCAAAGGGTTCAGAGTTAAGGCCTCAGAAAATAGGACAGCAACAAAAAAAAAAGCTGAAATTGATCTGAAAAGGAAAAAAAAGGCAAAAAAGGACACTAAAGAAAGTCAAACAGTCCACTTCACCACGTGATCCTCAAGCAGTTTTTGGGTGATGGGGTAACAGGCCCAGCTTCACACCCTGAAGTCTACCGTGTCGACTACAGGGTCTGGTGAAACGGACAGTCCGGGGATCTCCGTCCCACCAGCGCGGTAACATTACGCTTTGCTGTCCTCTGTCACCTGCTGGTGCTCCGCATCACTTCCTTTCGTGGCAGGAAGTGGGGCCCTTCACACTGGAGCTGCAGAGTCTCTGGACAGGCCCTGGCTTTCACGCTGCTTGGGGGGAGGGGGGCAGCCGGAGAGAGCCGGTCAATTGTCCACCTTCACCGGGTCGGCGTTGGCCGACTCGCACTCTGGGCTGGACTCTGCCGACTCCCACACAGGAACCCAGGATGAGGCCTCCTCTCCTTTCACGATCATCTCCCACTGGCCGAGGTTTTCCCTGCATGGACAATAAATAAACAAACAAACTAATTCTCCTTCCACCTCCCCTAAGCTGTTTGCTCACTGACACGGTCGTGACCAAAGTGTTTAACGTTTGGGGGCTGCATGTCTGAGCAGATGCATTGCTTTCCAATGAGGTTCTGTTACCACGGCGTTGCATATTCTCCGAGTTATTAACTGCTAAGGCCATTTCTGAACCTCCTCTCAAATCCCATGTTTCGCACCATCAGCTTATCGCATATTTTCCCGTCGTGTTTATTTTTCAGGTCCTTCATCCATGAATAATGTGGAAACAGGATGAGACATACAGATTTTGTGTGTTCACCCGTGCGAAAGTGCCCGGCTCGTCGTGACTGTCCTGTCGTTTCTGGATGGTGCTGGTGGAATCCATCTGCTTGGCAAATAAGATACTGGCAGGAGTCAAAGCCCCCCCCCCCCATCTTTTTCCTAAAGGGGTGAATAAGATTGACTAAACCCCAGGGTGGACGGTGAGAGTGTCTACATGCTCTTTCCCACCTTGTTTTAATGTGATGTTATGCACAAGACAGGAGTGTGAGCTGCCAATCTCTTGGACCATTCCTTTCAATTAGCACGCTGACGAGATCCCCGCTCAGCTGCATCTGATCCCACAGCTAGTGGGGGCTCCAAACTGTCTGGGCTGCTGGGCCGGCTGCCCGCGGATTCCAGCCCGGGAACCTTGGTGCTGACGCAGTGTCAAGCCTTTCATATCGCACTCGGCTCTTGTTTGCATTCCCGGCAGATCAAGGTCACAAAGGCTTTGGTGTAGGGGCTGGCTGGGATGGGGGGCACATACTGACATGTGAACCCGCAGGAACAGACCTTCCTGTTCACTGTGGTGGTGTTGGGGGGGGGGCATGGAGTTCTGGTAGAGGTGATGTGCACTCTTCACATTGATGACTTGCTTGTTGACCCCTTATGTGCGCAGAACATGTCGTCCCACGACCGATGGAAACCCACATTTTAAGCTGCCAGAAGCCCGCAACCCCTAAAGGCTGCTAAAGATTAAAGACTATCAGGGGCTCATGGGTCTGAAATTTAAAGAACGTCCACTCTGGGGAGTGTATATAAGCCAAGTTTGGTCTGCTGTATGCCACCAAGTGTTTCCCATCATTAAGTAAAAAAAAAAATAATAATTACTGTGGCTGTAAAACCAAAATAGAAAAACATAAATAAACAAAATTAATGAGCTCTGGGTTCAGTGGTGGTTCCGACGGCTGTGCCCAAAACGAACCTGCAAGCCCTCAGAAGAGGAGTAGCTGGAGGAAAGAGCTGAGTTAGAGTGGTGTAGCATGGGACGGCCACAGCGTTGTAGAAGCCCACCTGGGGGGGGGGGGAGGGGGAGAGAAGGGGGCACTGATGAAAAGATGGGTTTTAATTTTATCAGCTTTCTAGCCTGCAGGCCAGAGAAAGAGAACAACATACAAAATGACGACATCCTTTATGTTTTGTTTTTGCAAATTATCGCCTTTTTGATAAAGATCCTGCGGCTATCCTTGAAATGAAATCCAGCCTGCCTGAACTTTGCAAAACCCTTCTGTGGAGTTCAGCCGCTTCTCATGGGATGTTGGGACACTTCCTGGGAGAGTTACTGCAACCTCTTTAGATTCCCAACCACATATGCTGTATTGGTTGTGGTCTGGGAATCCTGACGTCGAGGCCAGAATGTCGCTTTTGTGTTCACTTAACCACATCCGTGTAGAAACGCTCAAGTCTGGACATAAATGGTCATTCCAGTCCAACAAAGTCAAAAACATTCATCTGTTCTATTGAAGGATTTACGTTTTTAATCCAAAGAAGCCTAACAGGTCTGAGTTTATTTTCCCCTTGATTTTACCAGAACAAGCGCTTTGCAAAACAACACTAGCATTCACACAGTATGTCACAAGGGGAAGGACATTCTCTTCAACAATGAGCTTAGCTTTTTTGGTGCCAAACATTTAACTGGTGAAAATGCAAGATGAGCTGTAGTGCTGACGGACCACAGAATTCGCCCTCCAGTATCATCTGACGAGTCTGCCAAGATTACCCTGCTCCTCTTTCTCTGCCATGTTTTTGGAAGGAGCATCATGCCAGATTTGTGCAAACTTTTTTCAAATATTGAATAGTACTAGCATTTGTCCCAGCTGGGCCTTAACATTTTTCTTCTAAATCATTTTGTCAGGGCAGTACTGGCTACGAGTCACTTTGTACCTCTCAGTGCCAGAATGAGGCTGTCCCGCAGGTCACATGTCATTAGGTCACATGACTGACATCCCCTTACCTGTCCCTGAGGCACCTCGTCCTTCTTGTCCCTGTCCATCATGGGAATGGGCTGCATCCCAATCTTCTTCATTTCATCACCCTGCAGACACAGAGAGATACGGTAATACAGTACATTGCTGATCAACAAATATAAAGGAAATGTTTTTAAAAGATACTGAAAAACAACCTCGAATACACTGCCGTACATTTATCCATCTAGAACAGGGGTCTCCAACTCCGGTCCTGGAGAGCTACTATCCAGTAGGTTTTCTATCCTACCTGGCATCTGATGAGCCACACCTGCTCTTGGTATTTACCTGAGAAGTAGTGTGGCTCATCAGAAGCCAGGTAGGATAGAAAACCTACTGGATAGTAGCTCTCCAGGACCGGAGTTGGAGACCCCTGATCTAGGTTCACACTATGACTTGCTCTAATTCTTTAAACATGCCTGAAAACAATTTTTGAAAATCATGAAGGCAGGTACTGTTTACAAAGAGCTGGAGGCTGTGTCCACTCTTCAGGACAAATGTATCGCCATTGTAAATAACTTGGAATATTCCTGGAGAATGTCCTGTTATGCTAAAGAGCATTGTGGATTTTTTTTTTTTTTGGGTACATACATGTTTCCCTTCCAAGCTAGAAAAATATAATAAGTTACATTCAACATAAAATGCATTTTGCATACTGGAAAAAATAAAGAGACAGACAGACAAAAAGAAATACACGGTAAATTTATTCTCATAAGGAAAAAAGGAGCAACATAATGCAGGTTGCTGGAGGATATAAAAGAAGAAAAATGCAAATCTGTGTCAGAATGCAATTTATTTTCGAAATTCTTCTTGATACCAACGTATAGATGCGCTCAAGTTTCCTTTTGCACAATAGGGATTTACTCCATCTCTTAATCGGAATGCTCCTTGACACCCCTCCCCCCCTCTCTGGGTGCGTGTTTCACGGGATATAGCTGCTACATCCTACATTTTCCACTGTCAAATCCTTAAACAAGTTTCAATCCCCAAGTGTCGACTCCGGAACCGGAACTGAACCGGAAACGTTTCATACCTCAGCCCAGAACTCTGCATAAATATCATTCGCCGTGATTCGCGTGACAGGCCACAGCTTGGTAACAGAACAGAGGTCACACGCTGTCATCATCAACCCAATCACGCGATCTCTGAAGAGCAACACAGAGAGAGCTGGTCAAGTAATACACAGTCATCATTAAACAACATCTGAAATTTCTCCTCTCATAGGCTACAACAGGGGTAGGCAGTCCTGATCCTCCAGTGCCGGTATCCAGCAGGTTTTCTATCCTACCTGATGAGTTGCTATCTGCCTGAGATCAGCTGTGGTTCATCAGAGACCAAGTAGGATGGAAAACATGCTGGATACTGGAACTCCAGGATCAGGGCTGCCAACCCCTGGGCTACAATATTAAGTGTGAGCATCTCCATAACTTCTTTGTAGGTAATCTATTTGGACTTTGAGAAGGTCTGTAGAAGCCTCCTCACTTATTATACAGTCTTTCTTATGGCTCTTTTCCACAAGAATCAAGCCAAACCCGTGTTGTCATGGCCCTGCTTACAAGCAGGGTAGAAAGTGTGACCTAACTGAGCTGGTTACATCACCATCATCTTATTGGCCGAAATGCAAGGACAGTGTTCTGTGTCTATATGTGTGGATTATCCTAAGAAAAAAATGGCATATAATATATTTTATCCATCATTAGTAGTATCGCCCATCACGATGTACTGATGCATTCCTGAAAACTCGGAATCTGAAAATATCAAACCACCTACTTAAAAAAGTGCTATAGAACAGTTTAATGGAATGAATTTTTAATGCAAATTTAAGCAAGCGCATGCTAGTTCCGCTAGCTTTGGTGCTAACATAACATGGTGATTCTCACAGACCTGCTACTGGAAATGATCACATAGTGAATCATGATGCACACCGTGTAAAGAGTAAATAAGCGTCTCTCCCGTTTTACATTAAGGTCGCTCTAAAAACCCAACAACGCCTGTTCCGAGCCGACCCTTCTGCAATGGAAAACCAACGCGAGCTGGAAGCGCGCTGTGACTAGTGTCTCTGTGCAGTACAGCTCGGTTCCTGTACGCCATGGGAAAAGTGCCGTTAGAGAGACGTGACCTACATCCCCGCGGCTCCTCACCTGTGAGCATGGTTGTTGAGGTCCAATGCACCTGTGGTCAGCAGCTCTTCCAGCTGCTTCCGGTTACCAAAGTACAGGGCTAAGTCAGTCGCAATGATGGCCTTACGGATGATCTCCAGCACCTGCTCATACTCACTGGAAGTCAGGTTGGAGAAAATATTGTGCCCTTCCAGCTATGGAAAAGAAAAAGATCAATAAAAAAGCAAAAGCTCCGCTTATGAGACGTTCTGCTCGGCTGGACTGAAGCTGAAATGCTGATATTTTTCAACACCCAAGAAGTAGTTTTTGAGGAAGACTGTAGAACATCACTGTGTGTATTCTAATCACACACGTAACCAATCGTAGTCGGGCAACTTACCATGACATCACTTCTTATAAAACCCACTGAAATCTTGCTGGTGGGAGTTTTACTTTCACAAAAATGTTCTGAGGGCAGAAGGATAACCAATCAGATTATGGAAGAGGGGAGTCAGAGCAACTAGAGGAGGTGGGACCAAGTCATCTGTCTGAGCCAATCATTTTTCCTTCTGCCCTTAAAACATTTTTGTGTAAAACTCCCATGAGCTGAAAGCTCTCCACATCTGAATAGCTAGACTTTGCCTGCATTGTGGGATAGCAGTGAGCAATAAGGAAGGCATGTCAATCTGTAAAATTGCATTAACTAAAGTGAGTGTTCCCAGGAAAAACGTCACCAGGAGGCATGACTCAATGGCAGCAGCCAGGGGTGCACATATCTTGCTGTGTGACTCTGTGTCAGCCACTAACTGCTAAAAGTCCTTCGGGATTTTTACAAAGGAAACTTATACACTGACACTGAGGCCTTAGAGAAGAGTCTTGTGACTGGGGAACAAAATATGTGAATCCAAACTGAAACTGGAGAAATCTGGATTAGATAGTAAGTAATGGGGCACTAAAGTCAAGTACAGTGGTACCTCAGTACTCAAACTCATTAGAACTCGAATTTCTTAACCCTCTGGAGTCGTATCTTTCTCATGTATTTCAGTTCATAACTCGCTGAAATCTTATTATAGAAACATGAAAAAAAAACGCTGACTAAATCCGTAATCTGTCTTCTTTTCAAAACATCTACTGTCGGAAGTATTAAAGTTTTTAAAATTAGGTTAAATCGGCAAAAAAGTTAACCATGTCAGCTTACTTTGTTTTACCTGCATCGGGGGCGTGTAGTACCGCTCTCACCCGAAGGTCGCTATTCTAATTCTAAATAGCTGCATTAGCGCGTATTCAAATCGCATTCGCATGGTAATTTGATGAACAGCGCAACGGTGAAACGCGATCCAGATACGTCCCCTTCAGCGCTATAAAAAGGGGGGGGGGGAGGTTGGGGGAGACGTGGTCAGGTGTCAATGGCTCATTCATACGCATGAAAGTTGCTACATATTCAATGTACTTTTATAATGTTTCTGCAATTGTTCCAAACTGCATTTTGCAATGTCTATACTTTGATGTCAAATTACAAACTTCACATAAATCTGACATATTTAAAAAGTGCACTAAGATTAAGATGAATTTATTGCCAAAACAAATATATAAGAAATAATTTATTTGCCATGAATTAAGTTTATGATATTGAATGAAATGTGTGACCATGTTCCCTACCCCTAGACCTAGAGGGTTAAAAGTCAAACCATCCAATTAGAAAAAAAAGATCTAGAACTCGATCTTAATCTCAGAAATTGAACCGTGAACGCCGACCTAAGATAACTTAACTTTACACATTGTTTGGATACATTTATTTTCTTACTTTTACTGTTTTACCTACTGTTTTGATAAATGTGCTTAGATGTGTTTAGTAAATGCTCTTGTTTTATCCTGTTCATTTTGTGTGTAAATGCAAAAAAAAAAAACATATTAGGTGTGGATGGGTGAATGTGAGGCATAACTGTAAAGCGCTTTGGTACTCGTAAGAGTAGTAAAAAGCGCTATATAAATGCAGTCCATTTACCATTTACCATAGGTGTAATTTTTTGAGGCGGGGAACCAATTAATTGGTTTTCCATTATTTGTTATGGGGAAAATTCGATCAGAACTTGAACTTTTTAGGATTCGAACCCGAGTTCTGAACGGATTAAGAACGAGTTCTGAGGTACCACTGTAAGTGGAAAGGCGTGACTGGGAAACCCTAAGGAATGTGGAGGAGTAAATAATGGGGTTACTGGAATGGAGGCTGTGCGGGATCCGAAAGGGTTTGCTGGGATTGTCGGGTGTGGCGAGATCTCTATGGTGAGATCTCTGGGTATGGCGAGATCTCTATGGTGAGATCTCTGGGTATGGCGAGATCTCTATGGTGAGATCTCTGGGTATGGCGAGATCTCTATGTTGAGATCTCTGGGTATGGCGAGATCTCTATGTTGAGATCTCTGGGTATGGCGAGATCTCTATGTTGACATCTCTGGGTATGGCGAGATCTCTATGTTGACATCTCTGGGTATGGCGAGATCTCTATGGTGACATCTCTGGGTATGGCGAGATCTCTATGGTGACATCTCTGGGTATGGCGAGATCTCTATGNATCTCTGGGTATGGCGAGATCTCTATGGTGACATCTCTGGGTATGGCGAGATCTCTATGGTGACATCTCTGGGTATGGCGAGATCTCTATGGTGAAATCTCTGGGTATGGCGAGATCTCTACCTGCAGGATGGACACCGTCTGAGAGAAGTGATGCTGCTCCATGGTGGAGGTGGAGTACAGGGCCGCCAGGGGGTGGTCGAACTTCTGCAGGTAGCTGTTGCTGTATCCACGGTGATCGAGGTCGTGACACAAGCAGGCAACTAGGAGACCCTTCCGCTACAAGGGAGAGATCACAGCAACTGCAATGAGCTGGCCTATTGGATAAAAATATCTTCATATTTTTGTGTCATTGCTTCCTGGCTGCAAGGTTAGCTGAAGACTCGGCTAATAAATTACGGCTTCTGAGCAGACAATACATGTAACTAATACCAGAGACTTGATTACTGTGCAGGCTGGCTTTGGCAAGGGTCTGATTTCCTTGCTATATAAATGAAACAGAGTCCCTCTGGAGAAACAGTTCCAACCTCCTGGTATCACTGTGCTGATGGTAAGAAAACATAATCCCAAATTTAACATTAGCTAAAATAAATCATTGGATGGGATAAACCTTTGATCCTACAATGTACAGTGACTGCTTTGCTGTTAACATTAATGTATTATTTAGAATCAGTGCAGTTATTTAACTACTCATTCATTTATTCACTTTCAATCCATCTTCCACTTCCTTAGACTCTCTTCCTTTCAGCAGTAACTGTCCAGCATGCCATGGTCCCCCCGCTCTAGCAGATTAAATTGATTAAACTGATTATGAACAGATCCCCTTTCAATCAGTTCTCACTGAACGTTGACCCCTGGTGTTATTGTTTCGGCCACTGCCCAAAAAAATTTGCACATGCCCCCCCCCCCTGCATCTGACACAGGAATGCACAAAGACAGATGGCTAGCTTGGCCCATCCCCAAGGCCTGACCTCCAGCTCAGTGAAGATTCCGGAGTTCTTCTGCAGTATGGCGTACATGCAGTGTGCCACCGTCACTGCATGCTTCCAGTTGTGGTAGGGGACGCGCCGGTAATTCTTTCGCACAGACATGGTGAAGCGGCACAGTTTCTCCAGCTCAAAACTAAAGTTGGAGAGACAGATGTCATTTGGTAAACAACCGTGCAGCGTATATTCTCAGCCAGCGATTACGGATTGAACATAGTTAAGAAAAAAAAGATTTCACTTCCTCAGTGGTCGCTTTACCTAATTCCAGGATTAAAAACTTAAAACACAGTTCATCCTCGAAACAGACTACATGGGGGGGGGGGGCGCAGTGTCGATCGCTCCAAAAATCCATTGTTCTCGACGTTCCGTATTTTTCATATGTTTACACACAGACGTACTGTCAGTGGCCTGTTTATTAGGTGCACATGCATATTAACGCAAACAGCCTGTTCTACCAAACAGCAAATCATGGGGCTGCAACTGAACACACACAGCATGCAGACAGGATAAAGAGGTTCGTGTGCTGTTTGGCTAAGCATTAGAACAGCTAGGATGGGTGATCCACGTGATTCTGAACGCGATATTATTGTTGGTGCCATACGTGGCGATTCCAGCGTCTCAGAAAGAGGCACCTACCCGGGCTTTTCCACACACTACGGCTCACAGAGAACGTTCTGCTGAACAGAAAACATCCGGTCATCGGCATATCTGTGGCCAAAACCCCTTAATAATGAGAGGTCAGAAGCGAATGGCCTAACTTGTTAAAGCCGACAGGAAGTGCAAGAACAGCTTGGTATAACAGAAATGTGCAGAAAAGCCTTCTCCAAACACACCTGCTTAACTTGGAGATGTTCTGGAGGTAAAAACTGGCCCTAGTAAACTGGCCACTGTGTGTCTGTGTGCATTTTTCTAATACATACTGTAGTTCTGTTTAATTTCTTAATTGTACACTTCTTGTATTGTATTTTTTCACGTGTTCATTAATTTTTCTTTTCATTTCCATAATCCATCATTCGGCGGATGGACCGCATTTGTAAAAAACGGATGGGTTTCCATGCCAACCTCTGTGGATTGCGTTGTACCTGTTCTTCCCACAGGAGCTGTGCACCATGTACACGAAGACGGCCGGCCAGAGCTCTTCAAAGGGACTGATGTCGAAGTGGAAGCTAAGTAGGACAAGAGATATAACAGGACAAACGGTCCGTTTATCGCTGCTGAAGTGCATCAGGCTATACAGGAATAGGGCTAAATGATTTAATGCAGTGTTTCCCAATCCAGTTCTCAGGGACCCACAGTCGGTCCATGTTTTTGCTCCCTCCGAGCTCCCTGCCAAGCAGTCCACATTTGCCAGGAGCTGGGAGAAAGCAAAAACATGGACTGGCTGTGGGTCCCTAAGGACCGAACTGGGAAACCCTCATGAACCCCCCCTTAACTACTTATGGTTTTTAGATACCTAATTCACAAAAATTTTAAACATTTTAAAAAGCACTAAGTCACATGTCACATGCCTGTAAACATGGACTAAACCAGGGGTAGGGAACCTGTTCCATGGTGGGCCATTGTGGGTGTGGGATAGCCTCTCAATCAGCCAATAATAAAGCAGTAGTTCTCAACTCCAGTCCTGGGGACCCACTGTTATTGGCTGATTGAGAGGACATCCCAAAAACCCGCATGGAACAGGTTCCCCACCCCTGGACTAAACAGATATGCAAGTGTGTGAGTATTGAGGTCATATAGCTGCCATGCTGTGTATAGGGCCTAGTCAGGTTAGTATGCCCCTATAGGAGACTGAGCTAGGATCAGTACCGGCACTCAGCTCCATGTTGGAGAAGGTAAGCACACTGGTCACAAATCAGCTACTCACAGCTCGATCTCTTTGTACATGGGTGTGGGCAGCGACAGCTGTGTGAGGGTCTTCCACTCCTCCGAGGTGCAAATGCTATGGTAGGACAGCTTCTCCATGGTCACTCTGTAGATGCACTCGGAATGCCTGATCCGGTGATACATCTGCAGACGGACAGACAGGCAGGCTGAGGAGACCAAGGAGGATCCAAGGCAGAAGGTCAACCACAAAATTACAGATGATATGAACTGTCTTCATACTTCTGTGAAAACGCTGTGAGCCGCAAGGCCTGGATGATTGATCTGAATGACTAAATTCTGTGTGGGATAATGTGCCGAACAATGAAGCCTAATTCATCTATTTAACCTGACACATCCAGCTGTATACACTGGGTAAATAGTGGAAAAAGCTCATTTCCCTAGTAATAACTCAAACCAAAAAAGCGATTGTGGAGGGGAAAAAAAATGACGACTTTCCAGTCGTTTTTAGTTCTCTAAACCAAGATAAATAATAAACTTAACAGAAGCAAGTGTGTTTATCTAGATCAACTGGAAAAAAAATCTATTAATTCATCCAGTGGAGATATCTCAAGGAGCGTGACACTCCAGGCATGACCCAGTGCTTATCAGGCTGGGGGCAGAACTAGTTGAGATATGGACCAACGGGATCAAGGAGCAGTTTTGTCCCTGTTGGCGCCTCAGGGTG